TAGCAGATCTGGGGCTCAGGGCCGGCAGTGGGCTCTGCTATCCTAATGCTGGTGCCTCCGGGGTGCTCCCGCCTCCGGTGTCACCATGAGGCACTGGCCAGGCACCCTCTGTGGAGCCGGTCCCCAGTGAGGCCCACACAGGCATCCGAGGTCCACCATGGGTGCCGGGCCCAGCCACACAGCCGGGAATTCAGCAGGGGGAGACTTTCAGGCCTGGAAGAAGCAGGGACAGGGCAGAGTCGAATTCCCACTTCCCTGGGGGGGGGCAGGGGGAGGACCACCTCCGGCGCACCAGCTCTGCTGACCTCAGGTCCCCTCTGAGGCGCAACCACCCCCCCATCTTGCAGATGGGTACTGGGCATGCGCTGTGCTGAGTCCTCAGCGAGCACGGGATGAACGAGGGCGAATGTGCCCCCCCCCCAGGGCCATGCCTGAGCCCTCCTCAGCGTTGGGGAGTGTCTGACCCCACAAAGCCCTACACCTCATCTCATGCTCCAGGAGTCCCCATCCAGCTTGGTCCAAATTGAGCACTGAGGAACGTTGACTCTGGCCACGGGGGGCCCCGCCCTGACCCTGTGGGCCCTTTCTGCCCATGCCCTGCTCCCAGGCAGGCTGTAAGGCTGCCGTCCCTCCCGGCCAGGGCTGGAGAAGGTGTCTCTAGTCTAGTGTTTGCATACCTCATGTTCTCAGGGATGTTCTGGCCAACCCTGAGTGTCGTGAACAGGGCACCAGGGCCGTCACCACTCGGCCATCAGCCCACACAGGTTGGTCTGGCCAGCTCCATGTAGCTCCTGGAGAGACAGGAGGAGGCTGGTGTGGCCTGTCCGAGGGTGACCGGGAGGTCAAAGAGCGTCTTCCAAAAAGCAGCTGAGGACAGATATCCCACACGCGCAGCCCCCTACGCAGCCCCACCCCCGTGCGGACGCGCGGCCCCCCACCCCACCCCCCCCCCGTGCCGCCGCGCGGCCCCCCACCCCCCCCCCACCCCACCCCACCCCCACCCCGTGCGGACGCGCACACACGCACCCAGCTGAGGCCTCGTGGCTCTGGCTCTGGGCTTTGAGTCCTCAGAACCGGGCTGCAAGGCCCCGCTCAGGACACGCACCCCCGCCCCCCACCTCCAGCTGTGCTTACTGGGCCAAGTGGCTTAATTTCTCTGAGCTCCTTCCCCTTCTGGGAAATGGTGCTCACAAGAGGCCGACCTTGGGGGGTAGGTTGGGGGAGTTTGGGGGTTTGCACTCAGTGCAGCGCAGCTGGAGCCAAGCGGGGTGAGGACCCGGGACACTGGAGTCCTCCGTGCACAGGGTTCCGCGGCCGCTGTGGACCTTAATGGGAGGAAGAGGGTCCGTGCCAGGCAAGGGTCCCAGGTGCCCTTGCTCAGGGGCAGACATCAGTGCAGTGGCAGGGGGAGGGGGCGACGGTTGGGGGACACGGAAGCCGGTCTCGCCCACGGCCCCCCTGTGCTCGCGTCTGACAGCCCTGCTCCCGCCCCCGCACCAATTATGAGTACTTAGTCACAGTTGCCTGTCTGCAACGAACAGCCTCGATGCCCAGCTGCCCCTGTTCCTCCCCCCAGCGCGGCTGACTCTGAGCCTGGGAGGGCAGACCCTCGGGTGAGGGACCCTGACCCAGAGTCCGTGCCTTGGAGACCCAGCCTGGGCTCTGGGGAGGGCGGTGGATGGCCAGCAGGGCCGGAGGCAAGTTAACAATAGGCGGAGCTTTGGCACAGCCCTCCCTCAGGACAAGAAAGAGAAGCCATGCTCCTTTGCAAAACTGGTATTTATTTACCCAACCGTATTTTGTGCCAGGCCCTTGGCACCACCCATTTAGTCCTCACAAGACCCCTCTGAAGAGGGTGTATCAGTTACCTGCGGCATAACAAATTATACCAAAACTTGGTGGCTTAGAACGACAGCAAACCTGGAGGAATTCATACCATTTCTGTGGGGCAGGATTCCGGAGAGGATCAGCTGGGGGAATCTGACTCAGGCCCTCTCCTGAGGATGCAGTCAGGGTCTCAGCCAGGCTGGAGGACCCCTCTCGTGGTGTCACACGCACCTGGCCAGCCAGCTGGGGCCTTGGCTGCATGGACAGCTTCGGTTTCTTTGCAGCTTGGCCACTGGGTCCCAAGAGCCAGAGTCTTAAGTGAGCAAAGCAGTGGAGTAGCATTTTTCATGACCAAGCGTTAGGAGGTCCCATAGGACCCTAAGCCTTCCCCGGGTCTAGGAGAAGGAGGTTGCCAAGGAAGTGGGGCCATGACTTAAAGTTGTCATACTCCCAGGTGGCAGACCAGGAGGAGACTTGTCCAAGGTCACGCAGTTACTGGAAGCTGGAGCCAGGTGTCCAGTCTCACTCTGGACCAGGGCTTACGCAGCTGACCACTGAAAGGACATTCGCTGTCTGCAAATCCCAAATCCATCCTCTGACAAGGGGGCCACTCCAAACCGTGCTGGGGGCAATTTCTGAAGTGAGTCAATCCCAGGGTGGCTCCTGCCAGGGAGGCCCCAGTCCACACTTTCTGGTTCTGATTGCTGAGAAACCCTGAGCCCTGTGCTGTATGAGCGAGAGTGAGGCTCTGCAGGTCACTGTGACAGCTGGTGGATTTCTGGCTCCCTGGAAGCCTGTCTGGAGCCTGGAGCCAGACAGATCATATCCCTTGATGGAAAGTGTTGTAGCGAAAGACATAAAGCCTGGAATTGCATGGGGCCAGTGGGTCCCGCTTCAGCCACTGGCCAGTTGTGTGACTCCGGGCAAGTGATTTAACTGTTCTGAGCCTCGCTTTTCTTATCTGTGAAATGGGAGTATTTGCCATCCCTCCAGGCCAGACTCTTTGGGTGGCAAGTGATGGAAACCCACCACCAGTTGGTCTGGGTAGAGAGGGAATTTTCGGCTCCCTTAGCTGTCCAGTCTTAGCTCAGGGCTCAGAACTAGGCACTTCCCAGCACCATTTCTCTGGCCCATTTCCTTTATGTCGGCTCATTTCCAGGCAGTCCCAGCCCACATGGTGGCAGAGTGGTCACCAGTTTCTCCTGGCTCCCGTGCCACCAGCTCAGCAACTCAAGGAAAAGCCAGAGGTCAACAAAAGTCCAGGTCTCGCTGGCCAGCTCAGGCCCAGGCAGAGGTTGGGCTCTGACTTGGAGCAGTTGCCATATCACGACAGCTGAGCTGGTGACCCTGTGCCTACCCCACCTCTCCCAGCAGCCCCCCACACACCCGCATGTGCCCAGCTGAGCCTGCCTACTGGCCAGGCCCCAAGCGCACAGCCTCCTGTTTCCTTCCAATCCAGGAGAGCATCCTCTGTAGGCTGTGCCTGACTGCTCCCAGCTTCCTGCTGGCCCAAGGAGAAAGGGCAGAGGGAAAGGGTGGAGGGTAGAGGTGGGGGCCTCACACCTCTGCTTCCTCTCTGATTCACACGTTCTGGGAGTGGCTACATCCTTGCTAAGGCAACAGCTCCAAAAAGGGACCCTTCTTCCACTGCCTGCTCATCAGGCCCCTTGCCCTGCCCTGGCCCAGAGCTGCTTCCCAGGCCTACCACTGCTGCCCTGGGCCCCTGCATAAATCCCCTCCCCTTCTTCTTAGCCCTCTTTGTGTCTTTGGCTGCTGCTGGGATCTTAACTGACCAATTCCCGTGGCTTCACCCCTGAATGGAACCCAGAATGGTCTGAGGCTTTCTACCACTGAAATTGGGGCCCCGTCATCCATGACTTGGTGGCAGGGTCAGGACAGAGCTGACACAGCCTCCCATCTTGGAACCCTGATGCCTCCCAGTGTGGATGGAGGGGGCTGTTTCTCCTTTGTCCTCTCCATCCCCAAAGAGACCAACATTGGCTCTTCCAGAATTCAGCAGTAGTTAGGTTACCATGGCAATGCCCATTATCCTTGCCTAACAGGAGATGAATCAGGAGCTAAAAATAGACCTCCAGAGTGGGGGGCGGGGTGGATGGACGGATGGATGGATGGATGGTTGGATGGACAGATGGACCGGTGGATGGATGAGCGAGTGGATGGGAGGGCCTAGATTCAGGGTCAGGACAGTTTGTTTTTCCCAGACAAGATATTTCAGGGGAAATCTCAATCAGAAACCCACCCCCACAGGGCTGGGAGGCTTTGGCAGGTGGTGCTCCCTCCCCTGACAGCATGTAGCATGGTAGGTCCTTATAAAGCTGAGTTGCTAGTTAAAGGCCCCTGGGTCCCTGCCAGACAGCCTCTCCCCACCTGAGCCTGGCTGATGCAGATTTGGAGCAGTGGATCACTGAAGGCCAAGGAGAGGCCACTCAGGGTATGGGGGCAGCCGCTGCACCCTCTGGCCCTTCCTAGGGTGGAGTATTGCCTCTGACACCCTTGCATTCTTGAAAGGGCCCTTCCTTTCAGTCCAGGAAGAACCCCGAGGGCCTGAGTCTAGCAGACTCCCTGACCCAGTGTGGGGGATGGGAGGGGGCCCGACTTGCCTGTCCACCCCTCCAGAGGGTGGGGGCAGTAAAGGCACAAACTGCTTCAAGGACAGGATGACACTTTATTATGCTCAGCCCCCACCTGCAGACCCCATAGACCCGGGTGCGGAGGTGGGAATGAGCAGTGAGCAGGAAGGAAGGCAGGGAGCAAAGAGGAATCTTGACTGTGCGTCAGGGGCCTGGGGGCATCTTGGGGTTTTTTCCACAACTGGAAGGCAGCCTGCAGGCCCCTCCTCAGTGAAGATCGGGTGCAAAGCAGAAATCCCCCAATCCCTAAACTTCCCTTCATTTAGGGCTGAGCTGCCCGGCCTCCTGCTCTCTCAGGAGTCCATGCCCCCACCATTCTACACCGGCCTGGCGGGGGCAGGGCCAGGCATGGGGGGCTACCACCAGTGCCCCACACCTTCAGCTCCTGTTTCAGGGATCCCCAGGCCTGGATTTGTTCATCCTTCAGCCTTGGGGGACCCAGAGGCTGGCCCAGGCAGCAGGCGCACAGGACGACAGGGGCGAGGCGGGGTGGGCACAGGAGGGCTCTGGAAGGCGGGGGGCCTAAGGGACCCCGACGGTGCTGGAGACAGAGGCTGGCCGCACTCCCGGCCACCCAGCCCCTTGGGCGTGGGTGTCGCCGCCCCTCGGAGGTAGCTCCTTGTAGCTGTAGAACTCCACCAGCTGCCTGGGTACCTCGGCCAGCACGCACTTGGCCAGCGCTGCCGGGGACGCCTTCAGAGCGGGGACAGCGTGGTTACAGCTGGGGGCCCTCCCGACCCTCTGGCCACCCAGCCGATCACACCCCAGCCTCATTCCTCTGGCGCTGTGGCCCCCACCCTCTCGTAGAGGAGGACTCTGTCCTGGCGGCCAGGGGAGCCTTGGTGCGGAACGCAGACCTGAGAACACGAGGCTGCAGTGGCCAGCTGCTAAATGGGGCTCCGGTCTGAATGGCACCTGCACCCACATGGCCCCGCCCCTCCCCCAGGCACACAGGGCAGGTGTGAGGCAGGCGGGGGTGGGCGCCCCCCATAAAGCCCTGTGAATGTCCACTAGTCATGAATTTCCTTCCTGTGTCTCACAAAGGGTCTGAAAATGCCTGGGGAGCCCACCGTGCTGCCTTCTCTCCCGTGTGTAGGCTCAATATTTTCAAAATAGGAAGGTTTCTAGGTGCTTGAAAGCAGTTCAAGTCCTGCTCCTGCCTGGGAGCCTGCGGGGAAGGCCCTGGACCCCCGCCCCCCCCCCCCTTGCATGCACTCACGCTCTTGAGCTCCCGGAAGGGCACGAACTGCACTATGTCTCGGAGAGCCGGCTCGCCCCGCGGGGAGCGCAGGATGCCGTCGTCCCCGTCCAGGGTCTGCATATCCGTGAAGTCAGCGTTGCCCACCCCCACGATGATGATGGACATGGGCAGGTGGGAGGCACGCACGATGGCCTCCCGTGTATCGGCCATGTCGGTCACTACGCCATCGGTCAGGACCAGCAGAATGTAGTATTGCTGGGGGCACAGGGAAAGAGTGGGCACGGGTCCCCCGCCCCTTCCTCAGGCCCTTGGGGGTTGTCTGGGGACCCCTGAAGGCCGCTTCTACCCCCCCAGGCAACCGCAAGTCCCCCATGCAGCTCCCTTCCCCCAGACAGCCTGGGAGCCACTGCAGGCATCCCGAGCTGGGGGTGTTCAGGCTTTTCTGAAATTGTTGCTGAAGTGTAGTTCATCACAACCACAAGACATCATGAGCTCATTTACTGTGGCTGGATGCATCCACCCATCTCCCAACCCATCCCGCCTCTGCATCGTACAGGTGGAGGGGCTGAGGCTGGTGGAGCCTGGGTCCGAACCCACGTCCGCCGAGGCCTGAGAAGGAGGGTCCTGTGGACTGTCGGTGGACAGGGCCTCCCACACCCTGAAGGGACCCTGAGATCCAAGGAACAATTTAGAGAGGACACCCTCTGGCCCAGCCTGGCCAGGTGCTCAGCACATCAGCACAAAGACAGACTGGGACTTGTTTCAAATAAAAGTCCATTTCCCTTGTTAAAAAACAAAATAAACAGGGGTTGTGGCACCTGAGTGGTTCAGTCAGTTAAGCATCTAACTCTTGATTTTGGCTCAGATCATGATCTCAGGGTTGTGAGATCGAGCAGCCCCATGTCAGGCTCTGTGCTGGGCGTGGAGTCTGCTGGAGATTTTTTCTCTCCCTCTGCCCCTCCCCCACCACCACATTTTCTCTCTCTCAAAAAACAAAACAAACAAACAAACAAACAAACAAACAAAAAACAGGGCAGCTGGCTGGTTCAGGCACGCAACTCTTGATCTCAGGGTTGTGAGTTCAAGCCCCACATTGGGTGTAGAGATTACTTAAAATCTTTAAAAAACAAAACAAACACAAAAATCCCCCAAAACAGAACTACTAAAAATGAGTACGAAAAATCTGGACAAGAAAAAACATAAAGGAGAAAAAATAAGACCCTGGGCCAGTGGGCACCAACACTGTGACACCACGTGAGGGAGAGACCAACGGGCATCACCAACAGGGTCACCTTTGCCAAGAGTCCCCCTGCCCTCCTCCCCCCGCTGAGCCCCAGACCCCTGGAAGGAGTGACCGTGTGCTGGGCCGTCTGAGGACCCCTGGCTGGACCCAGCTCTCAGCCTCATGGACACGGCCCCTCCTCAGGAAAGCCTGCACGCCTTCCTCCCGACCCTAGACTAGGTCTCAAACACCGAGTTCCGTTGCCGTGAGCACGGGGCCTCCCAGCACTGGGGTGTGGGTGACTGTGGTCCGGCCCCAGGAAGCCATGTGTGACTTGGGAGGGAGTAACACCGCTTTCCCTCAAGACAAAAGAGACGGACGGGCAACGGAAGATCAGGTGGTGAGCCCTGAGAAGCGGGTCCCAGGTTACGCCGAGCACCTCCCCACCGTATCAACACAGCTACTGTTCCACGGGAAGCCATCTAGCAGCCCACAGAAACCCCTGTGAAGCATCTTAACAGAGCCGGAGGCTCTGAGCGCCAAGGAGGACAGAGGCAGATATGTGTGCCTCCTGGGGACACTCCCACCACCTCCTGGGAAGCCAAATCAGGAGACAAGAATGTGGGGGCACAGTCAGCATCGAGACCAGGAGACCCTGAGGACTCCCCCTCCATCAGCAAGGGAAGGCGGAGAACACGTCCACAATCACACTGGGGCCATTTCACCCCCGTTCTGCCACAGAAGCCACCGGGACGGGACATGAACCGTCCAGTGACACACGTGTGCTACTGAGACATTTCATATTTAGATACTGGTATTTCAATACCGAGGGAGTTACTGTCGCGCTTTAGGTGTGGTCATGGCACTGTGGCTCTCCTTCCTCTCTTCGAGAGGTTTATACTGGTATTTACAGACAAAGTTATGTGTCTGGGACTTGCTTCAGGATCATACGGGAGGGAAGAGGAAAGGGGGAGGGGAGGAGGGGGAGGGAGGAAACTCGGAAAAAGTCAGCGACCTCAGGTGGGGGATGGAGCGCTCTTCTGCAAATGTGATGTCTTTTACAGAATAAAAAGGTAAAGCAACAGACCAGCAGTGCATACAGCAGCACAAACAGATCTACAAACATGTTGAAAAAGGAAATCGGGGGGGCTGGGGGGCTCGGTCGGGGAAGCATCTGCTTTCGGCTCAGGTCACGGTCCCGGGGTCCTGGGATCGAGTCCCGCATCGGGCTCCCTGCTCAGCGGGGAGCCTGCTTCTCCCTCTGACCACCCCCCCACACGCACGCTCTCTCTCTCCCTCTCATAAATAAACAAAATCTAAAAAAAAAAAAAAAAGTAAAGCAGAATGCAACTTTCAGCACAATATTATTTGTGAAAAATAAAAAGACACACAAACAAAATAATATGCGCACAGCAGAACAACAAACAGACAGCCTGTGGGGAAGGGACTGGGCAAATCAGCCTCCAGGGGGTGTGACCCCACCGGGTGAGAGTTATACCTGTGCCTCTAGGGGTGCTCTGAGGCCCTCCTGCATCCCCCAGTACCCCCAGCCCTGTGCCTCCCTGACCTCCATGCCCCCCTCACACACTGCAGCCCCTACCTGGTCCCCCAACGGCACGCACCACCTTCTCATGCACCCAGGCCCCACCTTGCCTTCCTGCCCCGGGTACCTACGGAGGCCTCCCCAGTGTGTTCCTCGGCCGCGGCCATGCGGGCCACCTTGGAAATGATGGGGGCCACGTTGGTGGGGCCGTAGAGCTGGACCCTGGGCAGGCAGTTCTGGTAGGCCTCCACCACACCCTGGATTCCTGTGGGCGAGGGAGGGTGAGCCCGGCCCGGGGGCATCCCCACCCAGGCCTGCCTCAGGCCCCTACCTTCACACTCATCGTCCTCAGGGTTGAAGTTGATGGCAAAGTCATGGGACACCTGGGTGGGCACAGAGGGACTGTCGGCTGGGCTACCCCTCCAGGACCCCCACCCCCCACCTCCCAGGAGAGGTAGGTTTGCAGCTCCTGGGGCCCCCATGTGGACAGAGCCTCATGGAGGGAGTCACCTGGGAGAGAGGGCAGGCAGACTAGTCCTTCAGGCCCCTGCAGCCCGGGGGTCTGAGATGCATTAAACCAATAAATCCCTCCTGCCACCATGTTCTTCAGCTATTTGCTACTGGAAGTTTCCAGACTCATTCCCCTTCTCCTGACAGGCACACAGAGTTTTCTTCAGTTCCCCCAGAGGGTCACTGGTGCTAGGTGACCAAGGTCAGCCTCTCTGGCTGGAAGTGCAGGGTCTCTGCGTTCCCACCAGCGAGAGGCAGCCGCTGAGGGGTCCCAGGACCCAGGACGGCCTCTGCTGGGGACAAGCAGCCCGGCCCCGGAGGCCCCAGCAGGTGCGGGGGGGGGGGGTCCCGGTCCTCAGGTTCTCCTACCTCATACTTGGGAGGAATTCGGGCTCCAAACCCCAAAGCAGAAAATCTCTTGTCGCTGGAAGAGAGGCGGCCCCATCACACAGGGGTCCCTGATTTCCCTGGGGGTGGGGGTACTTTGGGGAGATATCTACCAGAACCAGGACAGCCGGGCTCTATTCTACCCCTGTGTGACCAGGCCCAGGCTGACACTTTCTTGGGTGCCCGGCCCTGCTGCGAACCACACGGGGGACATTGAGGCACTGAGCAGTGAGGAAGACACCCAGCCTCCAGGCAGGGGCAGAGACAATCCCTCCACCCCTGGGACCACAGCCTGGCCCTGGGAAGCATTGGCCTCCTGCTCTCTGCCACCCACCCCCTGACAGAGGGGTCTACCCTTCTGTGGCCTCAGTTTACTGGTCTATAAATTGGGCCACCCCCCATGTTTGCATGAAGGGTGAAGGGGCCATGTGAGTGAGGGCCAGCCCCATCTCAGGGGACTGGGCTGCCCGTGCGGATCAGCCACACAGGGACACCTGGGGCTGGCCCGTGGAGTAAGCCCCACCCACCATGGCCCCGGGCACTGCCAGCCTTCCTTGGGCCAGTGGATACAGCCATGATGCCCACCCCTGGGCCCAAACCTGAGCTGGAGCCAGGGAGGCAGGGAGGCCAGGAGCAGGAAGGCCAGGGAGGCTGGGGGCAGGGAGGCCGGGGAGGCAGGGGAGGCAGGGAGGCAGGGAGGCAGGGAGGCAGGGAGGCCAGGGGCAGGAAGTCAGGGGAGGCAGGGAGGCTGGGGAGGTGGGGAGGCAGGGAGGCTGGGGAGGCGGGGAGGCAGGGAGGCAGGGAGGCCAGGGGCAGGAAGGCAGGGAGGCTGGGGGCAGGGAGCCAGGGAGCCAGAAAGGCAGGGAGCCAGGGAGCCCCGGGGCAGGGAGAGGGGGGAGGCAGGGAGGCTAGGGAGGCAGGGAGGCTGGGAGGGAGCCGGGGGGGGGGGGGGGGTGCAGGGAGGCCGGGGGCAGGGGCCGCACCTGTCATAGTCCTGGCAGATCTCCCCCACGGCCACCAGAGCCTGCAGGTACTCATTGGGCTGGAAGGGGTTGATGTAGTGCAGTGAGCAGCTGTTCCGGGGGTCACCATTGGAGGCCGTGAAGTCGATGGCCACCTGCAGAGACCCCGGCTCATGAGCTGGGGGCCCCTCTCCCACCTGGGCTGGACTAAACACCCAGAACCCCCATTTGAGAGGTAAGGGGAATGAGCTGTGGGGAGCTGCTTGGCAAGGGGTGCAAACTAGAGCAGTCCCCAGGGCCATCTGAGGGCCCAGCTCTGTGCTGGGGTGGAGGCCGAGCGCAGCAAGCCCTGACCAGCGCTAACCAGCACAACGGGATGGAGCCTGCATCCTCAGGAAGGAACAAGCCCCTCCCTCTCCCGGTGCCACCAGCCTGTCACTGGGCCTGGGGCAGGGCCATGGGAGGGGACCCAAGGCCAAGACTCGCCTCTGCTGCCAGCCTGCCTGGGCAGGGTCTGAGAGTTCAAGCCCTGGGGTGGATCCCCACGTGCCGCCCCTGCCGGGACACTTCCCTCGGGCCCCTCCTGCTGCTGCTCAGGGGACAGACAGGAACCCATGCATCCTTGAAATGAGCAACGAGGCGACACATGGGCTCTCCAGGCCCCGGCTCCAGGCCAGGCCACAGCAGCTTGGTCTTGGGGCTTCTGGTGTTGTCCCTGGCGGTGACAAGTGTCACTCTGTTCTCTCCTCGTCTTTCTGACACTGCTTCTGTTATGAGGCAGAGTTCTGGCTCCATCCCTTCCGGATGGGGGACCCTCTATGCACAGGAAGAGCCCAGAGCTGGGCAGGGGGTGTGTGGACCCTGCAGACCCCGCAGAGGGGCCTTACTACACACATGTATGCACCTCGGTCCCCCTGTCTGGGTGGGGAGGCTGCCCAGGCTCTGCGGGGGTGGAGGGGCTCTGTGGGGTGGGGTGGGGAGCGGGGGTCCCAGGCGCTCACCGTGAAGTGGATCTGACAGCCGCCCATGATGTAGTCCAGGAACGAGTGGACCCTGTAGAACTTCCAGGCAGGGGTGTCGGTAGGGCCCACCCAGGACATGCCACGCCCAGGCACGGAGGCTGGAGCCCCCGGGGACCTGCCCTCCCTGAGGGGAGCTGCCTGGAGCGGCCTGACCCCCAGCTGCCCCCCCCCACTTCCCTCTCTGACCCCTCCTGCCCTCCATTCCTCCCACTTCCCTCCCCCAAGGACTGGGGACCCCCAGGGCTCTGGGATTGGGGGCCTTTGAGGGTCCATCTGACAGTGGGGAGACTCGCAGGGAGGGGCATGCCCCTGCCCTGTTGGCTCTCTGCAGAGTTTAGGCGGGAGCCGGCCCCCAACCCACTGTGGGTGAGGCAGGTGCCGCAGCTCACCTTCAGGTCTGCCAGGATGACCACCCCAGAGTTCTTGTAATGACGCTTCTTCTGCTTGTATTTGGCATTCACGCAGTCCCACTGGGCCTGGGGGACAAGGGTAGGCAGAGACCCCCACCCCCCGAGGGCCAGTGCCCAACACCCACCTCAAGGGAGCAGGGAGACCTCAAAACCCCAGCCCTGAACAGCATTTTTCCAACTGTAACGAGACAACTGATGTCTTTGGTCTGGCCACCTGGCAGCATGGTCATCAGTCTTCTCTGGGTTTTACCAGTAATAACAGTTTCTGGAAGTTTCTGGAGCTGGCTCGGCTCAACGCCAGCGCTCTACCTACCTCCTGTGGCTCCTTCCAGAGAACCCTGTGCAGATGGGTCAGAACCCAGCTTTCACCCACTTTCCACCCTGTGTTCAGGCAGTGGGGAGGGACGGGCCCAGCTCACCTGGTCCTCCCCGAAAGCTTTCTGCATCTCCTCAAAGGTGGTGGAGAATTCCCCGATGAAGTCGTGCTTTCCGCGGGAGTCATAATCCCAGACGAGGCACTGGGGAGCCCAGGCCCCCTCAGCCCATCTGCCCCTGTGGGACCCCACCCCTGCAGCAGGCTCCCCACACCTGCTCCCGGCCCGTCCTGCCCCACCTTCAGAGGCCGCGTCTCCTCACAGCTGCACAGATTGCTCAAGGACACCTTGAAAGGCTCCCACACGGGGCTGAGGTTGTTCTTCACCACCGGGGGGGGGGGGGGGGGGGGCTGGCTCAGGTTCCCCCGGGAGCCACCTCCAGAGCTTCCGCCACATTCCCGGGCCACCTGGAACCCTGTTCTTTAAATAGGCTCCTTTTCTTACTCAGATTAATTTATCTCAAGGGGAGACGATGTCTCAGTGCTCTAACTGAAATGCCATTTCACCTGCAGGCAGGGACGACAAAACACAGTTGTGGGTTCTAGTGGCAGACGCGCCTGGCCTGGCCGCCTGGTCGGCCGGCTCCCTGTTGAAGGAGATGTGCGCTGGGAGGACGGGGGAGTGACGGGGCTGGCTCCTTTCCCTGTGCTCTCATTCTGGTCCCCAGAGCACTGCAGCAGACGTCAGGTGCTAGGCAGGGAGCCCTCACCTCTGTCCGGTACACCAGCTGCTCGCTCTGATCATCGTTGACCCGGTAGAGCTCCAGGAAGGGGTCCGACTTGCTGAAGAGGTCCTGGGGGAGGGCGGAGGCTGTGCTTACCGGCCCCGCTCTGCGGCTTCCCAGCAGCGCTGTTCACCCCATGGAGCCTCCATCCCCTCAGCTATGAAATGAGGGTGAGAGCCTCTTGGAGTGACCCTAGGCTGCCCTCCCCCTCTAGAGCCTTCCCTGGCTCCCCAGTACCCTTCCTGTGGCTCTCCGGCCATGTCTGCTCTTGCTCGGCTAGCCCCAGCTGCTGGCCCCCCCCTCCTCCCCAGGCTCCCGTCTTGCCTGGCCAGGGAGGGCAGCAGGACACACCCTCCAGCAGGTCCGACCCCCCTCTCTGTGTGCTCCCACACCCCGTGTGAGAGCCGACAGAACCGGGCTCAGAGCAATCCCTCCACTGTCTGGACGGCAGCCTCCCCGAGCACGTGCCCCGATTGTTAAACGGGGCCACGAGATTGAACAGAGGTTTCAGGAAGGGGCCCAGAGCCCAGAACACAGCCAAGAGCCAGTGACTGACACGGGGACAGGAGCAGCCTCCTGGGGGCCCCACGGGGCTCCAAGCGCCTTTCACTCAACACCGCGCTCGCTTCCCTGGAAGGCTCTGACGGGGGAGGGCAGCGCTGGGGGTGGGCTGTGCTTGTGGGGCCCCATGCGGGTGCCCGCCGTGCACCTTGTCGTCCAGCTTCCGGGCCCTGAAGGAGAGCTCTACGTAGCCATTGTTCCCAGAGATGTCCTCAGCGATCACCTGGGAGGGGAAGCCACGGCTCGGAGCTCCGCAGGCCAGGCCCAGGGGAGGCACTAGGGCCACCCCCGCCCCCCTCCGAAGGCAGCCTCGGGCCTCGCCCCTCAGAGCTGGTTGAGGAAGGGGTGGGGTCTGCCAGTGCAGGGGCTGGGCGGGAAGGCGGGCAGCCTCACCGTGATGGTGGACTTGCCCGCATTCCTGCCGAACTTGAGCAGCAGAGAGCGGGTCATCTTCTTCTGGGCCACGATCTGGAAGTCAGAACAGTCAGGGAGGGGTCAGCTCCTGTCCCCTGGGGACCCTGCCCTCAGTCCCCCTGGGGAGCCTGGCTCTGCCAAACCTACGACCCAGGGCCCCACAGCCTCGGGGCCCGGCAGTGACCAACCCACAGCCCGCTCTGGAGATGCTAGTCCACCTGACGGGCGTCTCTCTGTGCGGCCGTGGCCTCTGGCTCAGTCAGGGGCCCTCTTGTCCATGTGTCGGGAGAGGAGGAAGCAGAAACAGCACCCCACACACCAGATGGATTACACACCCAGCCCCACCCAGCCCCAATTCCTCCGTGTCCGGCTCCGGCCCCTAGGCAGCAAGGTGCTTTAAACCCCGCTGGCCGGCATGAGGCCGAGGGTTCCTGGGTGCTACCCTGGACTCCCAGGCTGCCCTGAAGGTGGCAGAGGGCTTGAGAGCAAGAATGGAGACACCAAGCCAGCTCTGCACCCTCCTGTACATTTGTGCAGACGATGCTGCCCCATGGACATCCTTGGTGCTGCGCCCTCCCTGTGGGCTCCTCCCTACTCCTGCCCACCTGGGCCTCCCCCTCGCCTGGCCCGGCGTGGATGCTTCCCCCATTCGGCTACAAACCCCTAACTGGGGCCCGTGAGTTGACCCAGGAAGCTGTGTACAGCACTCAGGTGGGTGGGGGCCCTGGTCTGTAGAAGGGTTCAGTGAGGGCAGCCCCTCACAGCTACCAAAGGCTCCACGACATCGTAGGGACCCCACCCATTGCCAGCCAACCAAGACCAGCTGTCGCCGTGGTGACGGTGACCTGGACGCTCATTAGCACTTACCTGGCCTCACCGTCCACCGGCTCCTGGAGCTGGACTGACTACGGCACAGTGAGCTGAGTCCGCTCAGATACTCCCAACCCACACACTCACGCGGCGCTGCCTAGCTGACAGCTCACAAGCCTCCATCCCCTTAGCTATGAAATGAGGTTGAGAGCCTCTTGGAGTGACCCTAGGCTGCCCTCCCCCTCTAGAGCCTTCCCTGGCTCCCCAGAGACCGTTTGCTGCACGTGGGGAGGTCAACACAGGCTAAGGGATGCCGGGGGGCCATGTCCCGAGCCTCCCCAGGTGCTCCCACTCGTAGGCTCCACTGCTGGGGCTATAGCTCATTTGTGAACCGGTTAAGGTCGATAAGCGCTTTCTTCTCTCGGTCCCCCAACCACCCCCTGAGGTGGCTGAGGCTTGGAGGTTCAGGCAGAGGTCAGCGACTTGCTCCAGGTCCTGCGACTGGGATTCGCCGCCGGTGTCGGGACCTCAAGCTCCGCCTGCAGCTGCCCTGATGGCCGTGGGGCCCTGGCGAGTCAGCTGAGAGCGGGCCGTGTCAGCCTAGACATGCTTGCGCCCACACCTGTTCCTGTGTATCCAAGAATGCATCTGTACCCTCACCCGTGGACCTGTGCCCGTGCATACACGTATGTCCGTGCATACATGTCAACACCTGTGTGTCCACACGTGTGTCCGTGGTGTGCACTATTCTCTTCTATGCTTGAGACGAGCAGGGGGGGAAGCCACCGGGGGGATCCTGCGCTGCTGCCGTGCCCCTCCTTAATCTCAGTGCTGTCAAATGGGGTTGGCAGAGGGATCCACCCTAAACCAGCTCCGAACCAGACAGCAATGGGGATGAGTCATGCAGACAGCATGTTGGGTAAAAGAAACCGGACACAAATGAGAACACACTGTGTGATTCGTGAACAGGAAATTCTAGAGCAGGCAAAGCTAGCAGGAGTTCGCTGGAGAGGAGGGGGTCAGTGGGGGTGATGAAGTGTCCTGTGTGAGCCGGGCGATGATCAGGTGTACAGGTACCTAAACTCATCGGCATCGACCCTTAAGGTCTGCACCTATTGCTGTGCGTAAATTATACGTCAATGACTAAGAAGCACCTCCCCTCACCAGCCAAGAAGGAAGTATCCTAACCCTGACTGCGCGGCTAAGAGAAGAGCTACTGGACCGGACGTCATCCGAGGACCGCAAACAGTGTCCCTCCGGTGACCGCAGCCCTCAACGGGCTGGTCCGTCTGCCACAGGGAGAAACAAGGACACTTATGTGCTGACATGGAAGGGCTTTCTCATGTCATGACAGTGAAAAGAGCAAGTTGCAGAACGGTGTATGTAGTTTGTGTTGTTAAAATACATACACGGAGAGAAAAATACACACTCACGTCCTCATGTGAGAGCACAGAGCCCGGGGACAGGCAGGAGGTAGACGTTCCATGCCACGCCTTTCACACTTTGCAAATGTCGAATTAGAGGAGTGCATCACCCAGTTCAAATTACATACTTTTAAAGCTAACTAATAAAGAATTTTTAGGAGAAGTCACCATGGAGGCAGGCAGAGTGGGACGCTCATCCCAGGGGGAGCTCTGAGGTACCACAGTCCCCTTTCGATCGGGCTGTCCCCACATCACCACCGCCTCCCACCAGCATTGGCCCAGGGGCGCTTCCCCACCTGGGCCTCTCCTCCTGAGGGGACGGGGTGCCCACCTGCCCCAAGGTGCACTCCATGCCTCCAAGGAAGTCATCGTCCTGACAGCTAAGGCTGCTGGGTCCGTGCGTGTCATAGACCTCGAAGCGCAGCTTCTGTACCTCCTCAAAGTAGTAGTCGAGCGTGAAGACCTTGGAGAACACGGGGTGCAGGCTGCTCCTGACCACCTCAGTTCTGTCCACCTGCAAGCAGCCCAGGCTGAGCAGACCCCGCGGGAGAGCCGCGTCCACCCAGGCACTCCCCGGGCCCTGGGCCCCCAGCTCTGGCCCGCAGAGTCCCCTTACCTGCCCTCACGTGCTCCTGGAGGACTCGTGTCCAGGCCAGGCCCTGGGAAGAGCCCCCACGTCCCCTCCCCCGGACAACCTGCACTCCATTCCTCAGGATTTCAGCTGCTGCGCAGCTGCCAGGGGCCCTGGGCACCTCCCTCCCTGAAAGAAAGGCCCCAGCCCTGGCCAGCCGTAGACCACAGCTTCTCTGCAGCTTCTCATCTCCTGCCCACCACAGCCCACTCTATCCCCATCACAGTTGGGGAAACTGAGACTCGGAGAGGGAAAGGATCCCGTGCAAAAGCAGTCCAAGTCAGGGACACAGCTGGGTCAGAATCCTGGGCTGGGCAAACCCAAAGTGGAGCTCTCTGCCCAGCTGGGCAGGCAGGGAGACTGGGGCAGGGGTTACAGATCCCCCTGGGTTCAGCTCTCTCCTCCAACTTAGGCCCCCCTACACCCCTAAAGCACAATCCAGCCTGGGGAAGTAGGTTTGCCACCCTCCAGGGTACACAAACTCCCGCACCCTCAGACGGAGGGTCTGTGTGGCCCCCCCAGGGACATCTGCACATGTGCTCAGGCCAAGCGAGCCCTCCTCACAGATCTTCCCAATGTTCCCAGCACCACAAAGACACTGAGCTGCAGTGGCACCTTTGCCTCCTAGGTCAATGACCCACAGGAGCCTGGCGGTCAAGAGATGACAAGAAACAGCACAAGGGCACACCGCATGGGGGAGCAGAGCTGGTCTGTGGAAGCTGGCCACTGGAGCCTCCAGGACTGTGTGCCCCTCGCAGGTCGGGGCCCAGCCTATCTGCCTCCCCCACCCAGGCCCCCGGCGGTGAACACCAGGGTCTCCCCCTCATCCACCCTCCCCACGGCCCCACCGCCCCGCCCAGGTCCCCCTGCACTGTCACCACAGTCAGGGGGTGTGCTGGAGCCTGGGGAGGGACCCCTCAATTCCACTGTGGCTTCAACTCCCAACCTCACCTGCCCATGCCCGGCGTTTCTCAACATTTCCAGGTGAAGCACACATCTCACAGGGAACAGTGACCGAGAGAGTGCTTTGCACAATGCAGAGCTATTGCCGTGACTGGCCCACAGGGAGGGCTGGGCCGGAGGGGACAAGGGGCAGCCAGCTGCCCAGGCACCCCAGCGACCCCCAGGGCCCGAGAGTATCAAAGGGAGAAACAGGTCCATGGAGTGTACAAACCAGACCTCAGCTGTCTCAACCTGGCCACAAGTGCTGGGCTGACCCGGTCACCCCAGGGTTTCTGGAGACTCACGGTAGAGTCTGCCACAAGAGAAGAGCAGGCGACAGGCTGGGAGCCCTCCAGGTGGGTCAGAGACCAAATCTCTAGCTTGCCAATGCCCCAGCTTCAGTCAGCTGCTCCCCTTAACCCCGCAGCCCTGCCTGGCCCTCCCTGCTCCCCGCTCCAGGATCTGAGGTCTGGGTGCCTCTGTCTGACAGATGAGGACCTGGCGGAGCGGTGGCCCCCCCAGGCCGGGGGGGGGGGACCCATGAGCCCAGGCCAACCCTGCATCCCCCAATGGGCGCACCACTCTCTCCTGCACCCCCCACTCTCTTCTGTGCCCCTTAGTCAAGCCCCCTGCCGGCACCCTCAAGCCGGGGTACCTCACTCCGGCACCTAAACCCCCACGTGGGACCCTGGTCGCGCCCCCCACGCTGGTGCTCCCTCTCTCTACCTGGGGCTCCTCTCTGTGGCCTCCAGTCCAGCATCCCCCCCAACTTGTGGGTGCGGATTCTCTCGACCTGGTAACCCCAGCCCTGACCCTGCCCTGCACGCTGCCCACCTCAGTCCCCAGCCCCAGGCCCCCGGTCCCCACTCAGCACCTGCACCGGGGGTCGCGCCCGCCCTGGCGCCTACCTGCACCCACTGGCTCTGGGACTGCAGCAGCAGCACCACGCTGGGGTCGGACTTGGTGAGCGGGTCGCGGTCCAGCAGGTGCCGGCAGCTAAGCCGCAGCTCCACCTTGGAGGCGCGGGGCGCGGGCACCACTCCGGCGGGCGCTGCCGCCCCGCGCTCCGAGCCCGCGCTCATGCTCCCGGCGCCGGCGCTCGGGGCCTCGGCTGGGCGCACGAAGGGGCCGCTGCCCAGTCGGCGCCGCCGCCGCGTCGGGAATGATGGCCGGGCCAGGCGTGGCCACGCTTGCCTGCACGCCCGCCAGGCGCGGACACACGTGGCTCCCGCGGCCGCCACCACGCGGGGACTGCAGAAGGGTGGCCGGGGAGGGGGGACAGAGGAGGGGACAGTGGAAGGGGGCGAAGCCTGGGTCGAGGGGGGGCGGGCAGAGGAGGGGGAGCCATGGAGGGGCGGGGCGCGGGAGGGGCGCGGGCAAGGAGCGCTCTGTGGGAGGGGCGAGCCGGTTCTCAGTGTGGCTTTGACCCTCGCCCCTCCGGGTTGCCGGGGTTTGGCAGGGTTCAAATCCTCCCCCGGGGAAGCGGGGTCGAGAGGTTTGGGGTAAGGCCAGGCAGCGCCTTCCCACACTGTGCAGAGACCCCGGCCCCCTAGGACAGTGTCCTCCCTGGGCTGCCCTGGGGGCCTTGGAGTGGGCATCTAGAGCTGCCAGGCCCTTTGGCGAGTTGGGGGGTGGCAACTGGACCCCCGGTTTAGCACCAAATCCCCGTGTTCCTCCCCACTTCTCTTGGACCCCATCTGGAGGGGGCATTTGGTGAAGCAGCACCTGCCAACAAGCATTTCAGGGGCACCTAATTGTGGGCCAGGCACCCCTACCCTGGGAGGGATGAACTTGCAGTCCAGGAGCAGGGATAGTCCCTGACTGTCCTGGGTGTCAGAGTCCGACCTGGCAGTGCCTGAGGGCCCTGCCACACCTAACCCCGGCAGCCAGATGGGACCGGGCTCCACAGGGGACCCCAGATTCTCCCCAGGCCCTAGACCACCTGCCAGTGGGAGCCGAGCGGAAGAGGAGGTGCTAACAGAGGCAGAAGCCACCTCCTGGCCGTTCTCTTTGCCAATGTTTGCCTAAAAATAGGGCACAGACCTGGCCAAGAGCCGTAGGGGGAGGGGGACAAGAAGAGGGTTTAAGGGGAAGGGGGGCCCAAGGGTCAGGGCAGCAGAGACTGGATCTCTGGTGTGCCAGGGTCTGTGCCCTCGGGCCGACCAGGGTTCAGTCTTGGCCTCCAGGGCTGCAGAAGAAGATTCTGGGGGTCAGGACAAGTATGCTCCTGGGTCGGGTCAGGCAGAGAGAGGTCTTAGCGGCAGCCTCCGCCCGCAGACCCTGTACGTGGACAGCACCCCTGGTGGTAAGAGGGCGGGATTGCACCCCCGGCGCACCCAGAAGTCAGAGACCCTGAGCCCCGTTTTCAGAAACAAGGAAAGTCCTGGCAGCTTGGCTGAGGCAGTTGGACTCCAGCACGTGGGCTCGCTTCCCAGGCACCTGGATAAAGAGGCAAGGGGCAGTGAGACACAGAGGGATTCGAGGCCACTCGGTGCCCGCTTACTCTGCCTCATCCAGCCTCCGTGTCACTCCTCAGAAGCTGTGGAAACCAGCTGTTAGGCCTAGCTACTCTGTGGAGACCAGCCTGGAGCCCCTCTGGGCCTTCTAGCCCCCGCATCTTTCCCAGAGCTGGGGGGGGGGGTGTCAGTGTCTAGCCTACCAGCCATGCCTGTGGGCTCGTGGTGGTGAATCTTGGGCTTAACAGGCCCCAGGCCTCCCAGATCTAGCTTCTCCAGCATACCTGCCCCAGCTGCGCCCTGGGAGAGGCTCCTTGGCCTCTCTGAACCTCCATGGGGATCAGACTGCAAAATACCGGCAAGGGGCTGGGCTCAGGTGGGCCACCCAGCCCCACGCAGGCAGGCCTCGCATCTCCCACAAGGCTCAGGGGGTTCCCTGCCTGGCTCCTTGGTCTGCCAGGCCTCGGGGGATTTCCACTGAGGACTGGCTCCCCCAGGCTCAACTAACCCTGACCTCTGCAGCCGACACAAATATCTGCCAGACGTGGACGGCTGTGGCACCTGTCCACCCGCTGCGCATGCTCCATGCCGACCGCAGTGGTGTGAAGCCACGTGATGCTCACAACAGCCCCATTTCACGCATAAGGAAAGGGACACCCCAAAGTTCAGGAACCTGCCCGGGGGCACTCAGCTGTCCGCATGGGTGCAGTCCTCACACACGCAGCACCTCAGCCAGTAAGAGGTGACATTTCCACTACGGGGAGAGAGGAAAGAGAATTCAGAGCTTGGGAGTCCAAGGGTCTGAGGTCCAGAGATTTTAATGGACCCACTGGGTCTCCAGCCACAGACTCACAGGATGTGGCTGCCTCCCCAGGGTGACCCAGGGCCTCGGCTCCAGACCCAGGGCCTCGGCCCTAATAGGAAGAAACCACAGAAGAAAAAGCCAGATTGCTTGTAACCCTGGTCTGTGATGCCTGGGCCAGTGTGGCCTTCCTAAGTCCCCAGAGTCAGGTGGTAGGAATCCCTGCTCACCCACCAGCCCCCAAGGGCCCCGGGGACAAGGGAGGGCTGGGAAGGCAGGGAAGGGGGGAGCTCCAGCACCCAGGCTTAGACACAACTGACATTTTGTTGTGTGTCCCTCCAGCCTTTTTTCCATGCAAATCTGTGTTACTTCTCAAATTTCCCTCCGGCATCTGAGTCCTTGCCACACCTGGCTCATCAGACGGTCCAGTGTGAGGGCCTGGCCTGCCCCCTGTCACAGCTGGGTCCTTGGGGCCAGGGCTGTGGCTGGCACCCCGCACATGCTCAGGACATATTTGCTGAGTGAGCTCATTGGGCAAACTATTTCTGTTGTGTAACCGGTTTCTTTCTTGTTATTAACAACAGTGTGTGGCCTTCTTCCATGCCACAGACTGAATATTTGTGTCTCTACCCCAAATCCCTGTGTTGAAACCCTAACCCCCCAATGCTCTGGAGTGAGGAGGGAGGCCTTCTGAGGACTTAGTGCCCACAGGCCCTTGCACCTTCCACCCAAGGAGACCACAAGCAGACGAGGCACCTTGACCCTAGGCTTCCAGCCTCCTGGACTGTGAGAAATCCATGTCTGCTGGGTGACTAGTAGCCCGAACAGACTGACATTCTCCCTCAATCCAAATAGGCCCACAGCAGGGCCCCAGGAGCTTCAGCCCCCCAGGCGCCAAATCCGGCGGCCGCCTGTTGTATAAATAAAGTTTAACTGGAACAGAGGTTCACAGACTGTCCGTGGCTGACAAGAGGAGAGCTCGGTAGCTGTGACAAAGCCTAAATACTTACTAGCTGTTCCTTTGAGAAAATGTTTGCCAAGCCCTGGTCGGCTGCATCAGTGTGATGTCACCCCGCTCCCACCGCCTCACCCCTGCACCTGGCTAACCCAGCTCCCGCCAGCCCAGGTCACCGGAGGGACCAGCTGATCGAAACAACCATTCCTAATTTGTTTGACTCACTCCCATTTGGCTCTTTTGATGCTTCCAAATCGTGGATTTTTAGAGCAACAAGGAAGCATCCTCACTTTGGACGACCAGCGTTTCAAGACGCGGTGGTTCCTACCAGCCAATTCCACGTCCCTCCCTGGGCTCCTGGGCCCTCGCCCCACAGCACTGGCCTCGAGCACACTCCAGAACCACTCAGCGCCTCTGTCTCCCAACCTGGAAAGTGGGGGTGAGAGCGGAGTCACCCCCGGGGCGGCGTGTGAGTGCGGGACTGAGAGGCGGGGAGAGGCGGCCGGCCGCACGCCTCCCCCCTGGCCCTGCTCCTCCTGTGGCAAGCCAGGCGGTTGTTGGGGAAGGCGTGTGGACACTGCAGCAGCAGGGGTGCAGTGCGGGAACCAACAGGATTTTCAGAAAGGGAGCGAGGCTCATGTCTGGCTGGGTGCTTCTTTTTATAAGCTGGTTGCAAACCTACCCTCTTCCTTCGTTTCTTTCCTCCCAAGAAATGCTATTTTATCTCAGAACATCTGAAACCTTCTCGATCAGATTGTTTTCCTACAGGATGTGGCATTGATCTTACTTGAGAAATCAGACCACTGCACCCAGAAGGGCCACCGTGGCTGGGACAACACAGAGGTCCGCGGTCCTGCTGGGCCTCGGACCCATGGCCACCTGTCAGCACAGCGTCGCAGAGCTGGGACTGAGGCGGGTCTCACCTCACCCCACAAACCTGCCTACAGCACACACAGATCACACATGCACACACAGACACTCACACGACGTGGACGCACAGGCAGACATCCCTGAACACAAACACGGTCGGACATGAGGAGCCCTGACAAGACCCCTTCTCCTCCAAGGGAACTGTGTCCCTGACCTTGGTGCCTTCCCACATTCAGTCCCTGGTTGCCATCCCCTCCTGCCCTGAGTCCCTGCCACGCAGGTGATGTCATCTGTGTTATCAACAAGACCCTGGCTCAGAGAGTGTGATGCCTTGCCTGAGGTCACATAGCAGGGACAGAGCTAGGATTCTACTTGGACCCTGTGACTCCCCTCAGAACACAGTGCTGAACCGTTCCTTGGCCCACCCTGGCCTCCCAGTGTGTCTCAGGGGCTTTGCTGTTCCCCCACCCCCAAAAAGTCACAGCCAACTGTGAGGGCACGGAGCACTTGGCCACCTGAGCCCCTTTGCCTTCAGCTGAGTCCTCAGAGCCCCCCGTGAGTGAGACAAAGCGGCCAGGACCTCTGCCCAGGGCCACAGTCCAGATGCTGTCCACAACCAGCTGTCCCTCTCCTGGGTTAGGGAGAGGTGCTCAGGGCTGACCCTGGGGACTCCAGAAGCCTGCTTCGTCAGGGCAGGTGATCTGGGGGGTAGGGAGGAGGTCGGGAGAGAGAAAACCCACAAGGAGCCATGGCGACCTAAGGTCTATACCCTAACCTCGGCCTGATGCTCACTTCTGCTCTCTTCGAGTAGAAGCCGCTGGGCCCAACGCACAGGCCTGCGGCGGCATTGCACCAGGGCGTGGATGCCAGCTGGCGGGGCCCGTGGGGCCGGAGCAGGAGCAGGGCGACCATGAGGACACAGCTGTCTGCAGGGGCCCGGGGGTGGCAGCGTGTGGGTCAGGGCGGCAGGCAGGAGCAGGGTCCCCAGGGCTGGCGTCTCCAGTGGATGGACGTGCTTTTCTTCCCGCCTGACTCATCCGGGGGCTTTTGATGAT